GGCTTAAAATTGAAAACAATGGCGGCTATGTAGAGAAGATAGAATAGGACAAATATTACCAATAAATACAAAACGATTTTTTTTACTGGTCAACTTACCGAACTTTTGTTAATACCCTCGCAGGTACATAGATAACGGTGTGTCCCAAAAATAACCGAACTTTTTGTATATAAAATAAAATACACATTATATTATCTTTGAAAGTTATTATTTATTCAAAATAGGTTCCATTGGACTCAACACAACGCTTGGAACGATCAACCAGCGCATGCATAGATTTTTTTATGTCATTTATAGAAATGTTCTTCAGTACCTCGGTTACGGCTGCTTGAATGGCTGGGATATCATCATAAAATGCTCCCTTCATCGTGGTTTTCAGTTTTGGAAAGAAAAAAAATAGTCACACGGTGATAGATCAGGCGAATACGGAGTATGGTCGATGAGAGAAATCCCTTTTTTCATTAAAAATTCATTAAAAATTCGAGCGATTTTTTGGTCGTCATTTAATTCATGTGGAACAAATCGCACACAGACCTTTCCTTTCCCCAAATCTTCAGTTAAAATTCTCCAAATAGTGTTTTTACTCGTATTCAATTGATCAGCCAACATTCTCGTAGTAAAATCTGCATCGATACCAATGATTTCACGGACTTTTTCCACCAGTTCAGCACGATTACTAGTTTCTGGACGTCCGTTCTGCTCTAGGGTCGTCATTTAAATCCTCACAACCATTTTCAAATCGTGTAAACCAAGTATAAACAATCATCACAATAAACTTTTTTCATTAATTTTTCTTCAAGTTTGACACACAATTTGATATTTGCTTTTTGTTCCATTTTATTTTTGAACCATTAGCACACTTTTGGTTTCATTGAAATGGCTGTCACTTTTTCATCTGTCACCCGACTTACATGAAGTTAGGTGCGTTTGAAAGAGGATGAATGTATCTTTTTAATGTTGCAAATTTTCAATAGATGGCGCTGTATGTTGTATGATTTAAATATAAAGTTCGGTTATTTTTAGGACACACTGTATGCATATATGAAGTCTGCGCATACAATGTAAATTAATTGACATATTAATGAAAAAGTACACCAAATATTTTATTACCTTAAATGCTGATGTAAGCCATATAAAGTATTTGTTTACTCTCATATGTTCATACATGCATATTGACGTGTATATATGAATGTACAATGTATGTAATTAATATTGTACTGAAGCCAATACGCCAAGTCAGTAAAGAATATTTTAAGTATTTAATAAACATATACATACGTACATATATGTAAGCTGACAACAGCATTGAGTAGCACTCAAGTTCATTTGATTTATTTTTTGCAATTTTTCTTTTTTTCAATAATTATTTGACGATCATCGTGCCGTAAAGCATATCGTGCTCTATTCTCCATCACGAGATTCTCATGAGACACAGACGAGGCGCTTAACTCAATATGGTCGAAGTATAATTCACAGCATTGAATTCAGATTAATCTGCTCAACGATCTGATGACGGAAGCCCGAGATCAATAACGAAATCGCGTAAGACAGAAATTGTTGACGCAAAATAAGGGGCACGTTCCTTACGTATTTTTCACTCTTCCCTTAACGGTGACATTGGCATTCATTCATTAATTTGTTTTTGTAAAACGTTTATCAGAAATAGACATATTTATTTTTATTATTTAGTCTCCACTATAAGATAAATATAAGAAGTATTCAAATATTTATTAACAATTTAGAAGCATTTTTTTTTTTTGAGAACCCTGTAGGAAATGCAATGTTTCAATACACAAAATTTGATCAACCTTTGAACAAAGCAAAAATTTGGTCTGCTAATTTCTATTAAATTTGAACCGAAAGCATGGAATTGAAGCAACAACTTAATACAGGGTGTGTTTTTAGGTATATAACATAACTTTATGACCGAAAATTTTCTTTATTATAAGGACAAGAAATTGTCATTTCTCTTAAATGATTTCTTGCTATCTATATATATCTATATCATTCCTCATTGACTGTAATATATGGCGGCTTCATGCTTAAAGAAATATGGATGACCATGGAGAACACCATAGTGACTTTTTAAAGCTGTAACGGCGTCTCAACAAACACTGGTGGATTGTCATCACCCCAAATGTGACAGTTTCGTTTATTGTATGTACCCATTCAATCAAAAGTTAGATTCATCGTGAAATAAAATATTCTTGTGAAAATCGGGGTCATCTCATTGGATTTTTAAGCCCTAAGATCCTTCCGGAAAATCGACCATCAAATAAATGGACGCTGCTCAAAATACGGCACCCGATGGCGGTTGAGCTCATTTGGGTCTTATTCATTACAGGGCCCCGTTACCGCAACAGCGTCTGTACGCCGTCTCTGAGGATGCGCATTATTCACCGATCCGTGATGGTTGCTCCAATTTCCGACTCTGCTGGACGATTATGTTGACTGAAAATCAGACGCAACGTGCGTTGCGCCGAGCGAATCGAAACTTTATTTTGGTTATAAATTTGTACGATTTGCCAAACTTGTTCCGGAGTAAGCCTGTGTGTTATGAAACCAACTGCGAAAAAGTATTGGGCATTTTAGAGAAACTTACTTCACCCATTTTGTCTTAAAACTGGAGATCAGGTTTCAGCTTAAGCACCCCATAACGTCTGCAAACGATGTGTTAAAGCTCTTGAAAAATTGGTTGAACGACAAGAAAAACGCGTTCCGTACGTTGTCCTTCTGACCTTAGTCAAGAAAAAGAATCAAAGCGATGTTTGTTACTTTTGATCGTGTATAGTGAACGGTCTAGTTTGAAAGCGCCGAACCCAGGGCCAAAAATAACAGTGTTCAAGGTCTCTGATACCTAGAAAACGATTCCAAGTTTATTTTACGAAGATAGTGTTGCAACTGGACTCGATAATAAGTCAAATTCCGAATCTTGAAATCAGTCCGAAATGTTTTCCCTAGTGGAACTAAATAATTTGGCAAGAAATTTGAATCTTGAGTGAGCATATTGCTCGGATAACAATCTGGTTTTTCCAAATGCACTTTATTTTTGTGTCTCTAGAATATTAAAAAACGAACACAACACTTGACTAAAAAGTGCTGGCCTTCGCGATAGCTTAAAGTTGCCAAAAAAATCGTCTTTGGGGCCTCCTCATAAAGTTCTTCGCGTAAAGATGAGCGGGTCACCTTCCAGATTCTTGGTGCGAGCGAAAATTTACCGAAAGAAGTCGCACTGGAAAAAATAAGTGTCTTTGTCTATTAATAAATATATTTTAGACAAAATATGATAAATAATAATCTAAACTATATCAAATCTGATGGTCCATCATTTACGAGTGCAGAGTATTTGATCCTTCTTCTCCTTCTCAATCAATTAGGATTGAATTAACAATAGTGCACTAGACGTATCTTCCTTTATCCGCTTAGTGCCAATTGAAGAAGGCCCGACGATTGTTAGCTCCAAAATGGTGACCTCATAGCCAGTTCCAACCGTCAACAAATTTATTGGACCCTATCAGTGTGGTTTTAGACCTGGTAAATCCACCATTGACCACGATTTAAAAGCAGCCTTCAACACCTAAAAATAGTACTACCTCATGCCCCTATGTACAAGCTGACGTTAAGCAACATGAAATGCTCGATCAGGATCGGGAAGGACCACAAAGTGCCTTTCGAAATGAAACAAAGTGACTTCTTATTTATTGACTCTTTCAATTTATTGCTGGAGAAAAATATACGAGCTGGAGAGCTGAATAGGGAACAGACTTAACAACTGCGCTGCGAGTTCTACTTGATATAGACTGAATAAGGAAGCAAGTGTGGCGAGGACAAGGCAAAATATCTTCTGTTGACACTCTTCACAACTTTGAAACCGGTATGAACCCGAATAATAATAATATCAGCCAGGAAATCCAGCGGAGAATCACTCTTGCCAAAAGGTGCTACTTTGGACTGAGTAGGCAATTGAAAAATAAAATTCGTTCTCGACGAACAAAGACCAAACTCTAAAAGCCGCTCATTATTCTCGTTCTGCTATTTATAAGGCGCGAAGGTATGGACGATGACAACAACTGATGAGTCGGTTTTGAGATTTTTTGATAGAATGGGTTTGCGTAAAACTTATCGTGGGAATTGCGAATACTGCAGTCGATGGCACAATGTGGTATACAGCGCCATTGACATAGTTCAACGAATCGGAGGAAACGGTTGAGCAGGTTAGCTTAAAAGTCCGAATGGATAAGAATAATGTAGATTTGAAAGTTTCTATGCTGTACCCTGCGAAAGAAGCAGTGGAATAGGAAGACCTCCACTCCGTTGGAAATACCAGTTATAGATGGATCTGGCTGTACTTGGTGTCTCCATCTGACGCCATACAGCGAAATCAGGGTTCCACTCCGTTGGAAAGACCAGGTATAGATGGATCTGGTTGTATTTGGTGTCTCCATCTGACGCCAAACAGCAATATCAGGGTATAAATGGCAGGCTATTGTTAGACATAGCGGAAAGAGTTGAAAAGTAACAACCAGTATAAGTTTTTCAACTCAAAACTTTCTTACATGGCTCGTCACATGTATTTTGGAGGTATGTATGTAGATGTACATACATATATGTAGCGCGTTCTTACTTCACAGTTTTTCGCGTATCGAAACCTCTCCAATTAGTTTTTTCTTACGCTGTGCAGCAAGTCTTATTGATACATATATGTATGTATGTATATTTTGTATATGATAAAAATAAACTCAATCACATTGCGTTCACTTGTTCATCCAATTGTGTTCTACATTCGAAGAGTGCAAATTACTGTGGATGGAAAAGAATTCAGTTTGTGACAAGAGATTGTGCCGCAAAGTCAGTGGTGTCACAGTAGAATTTTCGTATTTGTAATTATTTAAAATCCGCACACAAACACACACGTTTGATCTAAATACATACAAACAACAAAGCACGCGTTACCAAATAATACAATACAAATATTTACACAGTGAAGCAATGCGAACGGAAAAAATATATTCAAAATTCAATTTGTTATAAAGTTTGTGAAAGAAGAAGAAGAAGAAGCAGAAGAAGAAGAAACAATTTTAACCTATAAAACGCACAAATAGCTATGAACGCTATGGGTATCTCAACAGATCCCACATTACTTAATGTGGAATTGCCTGCAACACTTATCGAATCTCCTTCAGTCTCGACATTCTTACCCGAGGAGGAGGCATCCATTTGTCCATTATTGTCCACAACCAATGGCACCTCGACGCCGGTCACATTTTCGCATCCGCTAACACCCTGTATAGACAATGACAGTACGGCCTCGGCGAATTTGTGTAATGAAGATGCTGATGCCAAGGTCGAGACAAGTTCATCGTCGGGCAGTAGCTCCGGTCTTGGCATGGATGCACCAGATACGGCGGCAACAACACTTTTTCACAAACCACATGCCTATCAGCATTTACAATTGAATAATGGTGGTGCAGTGCTGCAGGTTAGACTCAAAATAATATATATATATATATATATATATGTATATACAAATGTAAATAGTTCATCAGGCTAACGCAAAAATAATTATTAATCAGTCATTATAAAAAAAATATGTGAGGTGAAAGTGTTGTGTGGAGAAGTGTGTATGCACAATATTGTGAAAATGTATTAGGGTGAACCAAAAAAAAAAAATGCTTTTGCGTTCTTGTTAATATCTAGTCAAGTCCCCATGGCTTAACGGGATGGAACACGGCTCGTAAAATTGTTGAACAACAAAAAGCTGTTGAGGAAACTCAATGTGGAGATGAGTAAGGAAAAGTGATAGTCCAGCACTTCACGATGTAAGGAGGAACTAGGCGCTACGCCGGAGCTCATGCATTGGTGTTGCACAGTGGCAGTGAAGCAATCTCTCTGTGTCTGATGCTTTGGTGTGATGAACACCAACCAGCAAAATTGTACGCAGAAAACAGTTAGAATGAGTACAGTCGTCCGGTACACTTTTCCAACAACTGCGCCCGAAAGGCTACTCAAACTTCCACCAAACGTAATTGTAGAGGAAAACATTGCAACGTATGTTGTGAGATTGATGATTTTATATAAACTTTCTACTAGTAACGTCGTGTGGGCAAAACAAATCACATACCGCCAACCCAACCCAATTAAAGCATAAAATCTCACATCGCGGCAGAGCAGTGGGTAGGGTGTTTGCTGGCAAGCAACTCCACTCAAAACGGATTGCAGCCTGGAGCCTATTGTAGGGAACAAAATATGGCGGTGGGACTACCAAAAGTTTCAGCTCTCCGCGGTAGGGCATGTCTGTCATACCGGTACAGCCGAGACTTTTTATCCGGCCAAAGACAGAGTCGGTTCCGCAACATTGCTCGAAAGTACCAATATCTTTTCGTTTACAACAACATGAAATATGAAATACGCTGAAATTTATTAGAGAAGCTAGCAGATGTATGGATCGCCTGAATGGCTACTAAACCTAACTTAAACTACTGCGCCTGCGTGGTAGATCATTTGAAAAAGTACGAAAGCTCTATCCGTCATAAAATGAAAAATTCCATTAAATTTGCTTTTACAAGAGAGAAATCAACAGAAATCAGCATAAATTTCCAAAAAAAAAAAAATAAAGGCATTTGTGAGCTGAAAAACTTCGAAGCAGGTGGTATCTAAATTTAACCTCTGGCATCCGTATTACTTAAGAGCAGAAAGTTTCCGGAAATTGTTATTTGAACTGCTCACTGCTGAATATTTTTCCGCACTTGTCCTTAATTACTATGCAAAAAATGAGCGCAATCTGCCAACCAGTAATTGAAATCAGTTTCCTCTGCGAATTTTCTTTTAAGGCCATGAACGAATCGGAACGGGTTCCACGTTGAGGTTTAGAAACGAAAAAACTTGCAAGGGCCCAAATCCGGTAATCGATGGTATTAAATGAGTTTTTGGTCTTAAAATCGTTCAGAACTACACCTCGTTGTGATGGCGCATTATTATGGTGAACGTTTTCGGAAATTTTCGGCCCGCAATTCTGGCCGTTTACAACGGATGTTATACTATATTCTTTATTGACCGTATGTCTCGTTGGAATGAATTCATGTTTAACGAAACCGCGAATAAAAAACAATTTCCGGAATTGTTCTGTTCTTAATGTATTAAGATTTAAGTCTGGTTCTCTCATATTCACCGAATGATTAAAGGAAGCCTTGGGAAAAATGAGTATCTCAGGCTTTCAATCGGCTTCAGAAGTGTGTTAGGATGATAAATTTATTAATTTTTATTACTCTCTACCGTTTCTAAATATTAAAAAAAAAATTTTTTTTTTGATATATTAATGTGAGATTAATCTAAACGGATATGTAGCAGGTCATCATCGAAGTTTCGGTTCGTTGTTTATTAAAAAATGAGGTTATTTCAATATTTTTTTTCTTTTGACAAATATGACACAATTGGGATACCTTTCTCTTTGAATTCCTCATTGCATTCTCTATAAAATTATGAGTTTCGTGAAATTAAACATGATGCACTGTTGTGTGATCATGTCAAGTCAGTTATCTGCTTTGATAAGTCCACGCCGATTAATAGCTTGGAAGAGAATGTGCTACTGCTGACATATGGCCCTAAATTTCTGCAAATAGTGGTCGAGAATTGGACATCTAGGCCAGAAATCATTCTCCGAAATCACTTTTAAAACATAACAAGAAACCATAATTTTTGCAGTAACATTACGTTCTGCTTGAAAACCACATGTCTAGAAAAAATATTATTTACAGGCCTATTCTGTCGAGGTAACAAAATTTACCTAGGTATTAAAATTTTCCATTCAGTAAATTTTGTTACCATTTCGTATTCTGAGCTCACTGTTACCCTGTAAATTTTGTTACCATTTCGTATTCTGAGCTCACTGTCACCCTGTAAATTTTGTTACCAGCGAAATAGGAGGTAACAAAAAAATCTGCTGTTTGATTTTATGTTGTATGTTTGGGAAAAAAATAAAAAAACCAAAATGGGTAGGCATATTTTAGGCCTGGAATTCTTTGAAGATGAAGAAAAAAGTGCAAAAAGGCGTATGCCAAGAAAATTTCGAGACAAAAAAAAACTCTCTAATTTGTAAGATATCGTTTTCACACAGCTTTTTTTGCTGTCCAGGCCTATTTTCCATATTTAGGTTTAAATATTTATGATTTAATAAACAAATTAATAAAACTTTTTAATTTTTTTGTCCACCGTCTTCCAATACGATGTGAATATTTTTCTTTTTACTTTATCAACTCGCAAAAGTAATTTGACATGGACGAAAAAAGCAGTGCTGCCAAATTTTTTTCAAACATTGTAACCAATTCGCCAGAATACCAAATTCAATTTCGGGTGTTAAAGAAAAGTCACAAAATTTACTCTACTGGTAACAGTGAGAATAGGCCTGTTAGTAGAGGATTTTTATTTTTTAATTTTTAAATTTCGGAAGTGAATTGAAAAATAATATTTGCCCTTTTTTTTTTTTTAGAAAATTTTCAATATTCGTAATTTTAGAATATTAAGAAATTTCTAAAAAAAAGGGCAAATATTAATTTCAATTTTTAAACATTCAGTGTGGATCAAAAAAAAAAATTAAAAAAAAAATACATAAATTTTCGAATAAATTTTTCGCCAACTTAATATTTACTTATGTAGGTATGCTTAGTTGAGGTGTTGGGATTAGGCAAAAGCAAAATGTGGGCGTTAATGTGGAAACACTTTGGCAACATTTAAAGATAAAATATAATGCAACATGTAAATATATACATACATATATGTATATTTATATAAAAATTCGTATGTGTGTAAGATAGGTACGTGCATTTAAACATGTTTACGCTTGCACTTCATTTAACATATTTTCATTAATTTAATTAACAATTTTTGATTGCTTTGTTTTGTTTGCTTTTTACGTCAGCGAAAATTTGTATTTTCATTTTGGTTAAATATTGCAACAGAATCCACATTTACAATCCACTTGTGGTAATTGAGAGTAAATGAATTTTTGCATTATGTGGAATGCATTACATTATACATATATACATATATATACGTCGTTATCATGAACACTGGACTTTTGTCATACTCTTTACAGGTGCTCTACGAGATACTAATTGTACTAATGAGAAATTGCATGAGCGAACTCTTTATGTTCTCGGTAAGGGTGATAAGGGCTGGAAATAAAAAAAAACAAATTATTATTACTTTTACATATGTGTGTATGTATATATAAGGTTGTCAAATATCTCCCTTCCGCTTTTTTGCTCTTCATTCAATGCTTTATAAAAAGTGTTACAGTGATCGGATTTAGTTAAAATATGCGCCGTTTTGTTCGATGATCTGTTTCCATATAGACGGCAACTTCATAATATCTTCCTCGTAGAAGCCCCGCTCCTTATTTGCGAAGAGTTCGGATAGCCACTTTTCACAAGCCTCTTTTGAGTTCAACTTCACACCACCAAGGGCATTCGCCATGGACAGGAACAGGTGGTAATCACTTGGCGCTACGTCCGGGCTATATGGTGGATGCGATAAAACCTCCCATCCGAGCTCCCGTAGCTTCTGACGAGTCATCAACGAAGTGTGTGGTCTGGCGTTGTCCTATTGGAACACTACACCCTATCTGTTGGCCAATTCTGGACGCTTCTGGTCGATCGCCTGCTTCAAGCGGTCCATTTGTTCGCAGTAGATAGTAGAATTAAGCGTCTGGCCATATGGGAGCAGCTCATAGTGGATAATTCCCTTCCAATCCCACCAAACACACAGCAAAACCTTCCTGGCCGTCAATCCCAGCCTGGCCACTGTTTGGGACGATTCACCGGCCTTCGACCACGACCGTTTTCGCTTGATATTGTCGTATGTGATCCATTTTTCGTCGCCAGTCACCATCCGTTTCAAGAATGGGTCGAGTTCGTTCTGTTTCAGCAGCATATCGCAGGCGTTGATTCGGTCCAGAAGGTTTTTTTGCGTCAAATTATGCGTCACCCAAACATCAAACTTTTTTTTGTATCCAGCCTTCTGCAGATGGTTTAAAATGGTTTGGTGACTAACTCCCATCTCCTGGGCGATGTCACGAGATGTCATATGCCGGTCTAACTCGATGTTTTCCATGATTTGATCGGTATTTGTCGTCACAGGTCTTCTGCCGGCTGACTTATCCATGGTGTCGTTTTCACCAGCTCTGAATCGTCGAAACCATTCCTCCGTGGTTCGAAGTGATAGAGTACCATCCCCCAAAACACCATTAATCTCACGGAACGTTTCTCTAGCGGATTTGCCTTTAACGAAGGAGAACTTTAAAATAGCTCGAATTCCGGCGTTAGTAAACTCCATATACGCAATATCCAAACTTATCATGCATAGCGTTGTTTTGTAGGTTATGTCAAGACCTTTCAAATTATGTTGCCAGATACGAGCTTTGTAGCGCTTTGTACATAGCCGCGAAATTCAAAAGACAAAAAAACGAAAGGGAGATATTTGACA